ACGTGACTATAAAAACGTAGAATTGTTTACATTGCGGAATATCAATTGACATCAGGGTCACTTTACTTGCCTCGTTTAATTTATAAACGTGCTTGCTTCGGTGCTCAGGTTTTGCAATCAATATTCTTCAATTCTGTCGATATCTCTTATGTTTTCTTTTCTTTTTTTCCCACTCACATGAGTCGAACACAAATTGAACATTTTAGACAATTTTTTTTAATGTTATATCTGTCTTAAGTGATAAGGATAATCAAAGACAATGTGTGTATCGCGAAGAATGTTCCTGATTATTGTTCGTGATCCCTAAGTTCCCTCAGGCACAAGGACACAGATAAGATAAAATGTTATATTTAATTATTTAATTCAGTCACATAGACTTTTCTTACGCGATCGAGGGATAAACTGGTTATGTTCACTCGAAATACGCCTCTACAGATCATCCATCGAATAACTATCCTCTTAATCACGATAGTACGTGCTATTTACCAACTCTTGGCTAAATTCCTTTTTCATGACGTGTAATTCTTTATCACACGTTCACGGTCACGCGGTGTGTGACAAAAAAAAGTAGATTAGTGACTTCCAAATGCTTCTTTCGCTAAGGACAAAGTCAATAACATCTAACTCGACATCTCACTCGTTCGCTATTGAGCTATCGAGTTGAACACGAGAAGAGAATTTCCATATCTAAGCTTGCCCACGTGTTATTCTCTATGATTACGTTTCTATAACATGTTATTTCACTGTACAGTTGGAGGTGAACTGAAAGTGCTGCTTTCGAATCGTGTGTTATTTCATTTTTTTTTCCGGTTTCTCTTCTGGAGATATTTTGAAAAAAATGCAACTAGTAAAACTTCGGTTGGAAATCCTTCTGTGATGGAGGAACATCTTGAATTCTCGAACTGTGAGCGCGGGGTACAACGAGTTGGCTTCAAAAATTCCGAAAGTTATCCAATAAGAACCCGGTAGAATTTGCCTCGCTCCACTCATGAAGTTTCTTAGTTCAGTTGATGGCAGTGAATGACTAGTATTTACTTCCTCTTAGAGGTACACCTTCGAATGCTGTTGAAGCCTGAGGTTTTTCCGGCTTCTTTTCTCAGTTTGCGATTTCTTTATCAGCAGGTCACCAGAGAGGATCGTTCTTTACTTCAAAGTATTAGTTTCCGCTGCAACATTTAATTTTACCGTGAAACAATTTTTTCTAGAATGCCCGTTTTTGACCGAATAAAAGTTATGAAGTTTGCACTGAGTTGCTCAGTCGTCCAGAAATTTCAGGATGCACATATGTCTCTGCGTTGACGTTGACAATATATTTTCTACGACATTTTACTGGTAGCAATATCGTCGTTATTAACCAGAGAAAAACGTTTTGGAAATGATGCACTAACATTCGTGTAATTATTCAACGCGACGTAACAAAATTCCACCTGGTTAATCTTTGCTCTAGGTATACTTTTCCCGAAACTTAAAGTTCGCGATTTGTACGAAATAGCGAAAATCGTTAAATCAAGTACTACCACTACTAAGGTATGAAAATTAGACGGATATTTCAGATGGTTATATGTTTAATAACTGCTGGGACTTACCAGGCCAAAGATTCCGAGAATCATAACACCTTTACGGAGGCTGCAGCCACAGCAACAAGTTTTCACCAAAACTGCCATCAAAGATGATTAGTCGAAGTTGCTCTTCTGAACGTCAAACTCAACTGAACTGATTCAAGCGTAGCTGCTGGATGCTTATAAACCTTTCTGACCCTTTCACTTAGTTTTAGATCCGTTTAAAAAATTTCTCTTTCAACGTCACTTCCATGTATCCTAATGGTGAGAATTCGTCTTATATCGATGCAGAATAGAACCTCGTCGATCAATTTCTATTAACTCACTACCCAACTTGTTGACAACGTAATGAATTTTAGGAGGAATTTGCCTGTATTGTTCATCTCTGGTAACTGGACAAAAGGTTAAGTGCAGGGAGACATCAGAGAAATGAAACGTGCTGTTAGTCTTTGTTTAACTGTCTAAAACGTGAAAGCGCTTCTTTCGAATCGTGTGTTATTTCATTTTTTTTTCCGGTTTCTCTTCTGGAGATATTTTGAAAAAATTGTAACTGATAAAACTACGGTTGTAAATCCTTCTGTCGATAACATCTAACTCGACATCTCACTCGTTCGGCGCGCTCACTATTGAGCTATCGAGTTGAACACGAGAAGAGAAATTCCATATCTAAGCGCGCCCACGTGTTATTCTTTATGATTACGTTTCTATAACGTTATTTCACTGTACAGTTGGAGGTGAACCGAAAGTGCTGCTTTCGAATCGTGTGTTATTTCATTTTTTTCCGGCTTCTCTTCTGGAGATATTTTGAAAAAAATGCAACTAGCGAAACTACGGTAAGAAATCCTTCTGTGATGGAGGAACATCTTGAATTCTCGAACTGTGAGTGCGGATTGCAACGAGTTGGCTTCAAAAGTTCCGAAAGTTA